GGACCCGAGTCAGCCCTGACCCGAATTGCCCCTGATGATGTGGGGCTCTGGGCGCCCGAATTATCCGGGGTAACTCGGGTCCGGGGTAGGTCGGGTTCGGATTCCCGAAAAAGGAGCCCGAGTTCGCCCTGACCCGAGTTACCCCTGATGATGTGGGGCTCTGGACGCCCGAATTAGCCGGGTTAACTCGGGTCCGGGGTAACTCGGGTCTGGATTCCCGAAAAAGGAACCCGACTTCGCCCTGACCCGAGTTACCCCTGATGATGTGGGACGCCCGAATTATCCGGGGTAACTCGGGTCCGGGGTAGATCGGGTTCGGATTCCCGAAAAAGGAGCCCGAGTTCGCCCTGACCCGAGTTACCCCTGATGGTTCGGGCCTCTGGACGCCCGAATTATCCAGGGTAACTCGGGTCCGGGGTAAGTCGGGTTTGGATTCCCGAAGAAGGAACCCGAGTTCGCCCTGATCCGAGTTGCCCCTGATGATGTGGGGCTCTGGACGCCCGAATTATCCTGGGGTAACTCGGGCCCGGGGTAAGTCGGGCTCGGATTCCCGAAAAAGGAACCCGAGTTAGCCCTGACCCGAATTACCCCTGATGATTCGGGGCTCTGGACGCCCGAGTTATCCGGGTAACTCGGGCCCGGGGTAAGTCGGGCTTTGGATTCCCGAAAAAGGAACCCGAGTTAGCCCTGACCCGAGTTACCCCTGATGATGTGGGGCTCTGGACGCCCGAATTATCCGGGGTAACTCGGGCCGGGGTAAGTCGGGTCGGATTCCCGAAAAAGGAACCCGAGTTAGCCCTGACCCGAGTTACCCCTGATGATGTGGGGCTCTGGACGCCCGAATTATCCTGGGTAACTCGGGCCCGGGGTAAGTCGGGCTCGGATTCCCGAAAAGGAACCCGAGTTAGCCCTGACCCGAGTTACCCCTGATGATGTGGGGCTCTGGACGCCCGAATTATCCTGGGTAACTCGGGCCCGGGGTAAGTCGGGCTCGGATTCCCGAAAAAGGAACCCGAGTTAGCCCTGACCCGAGTTACCCCTGATGATGTGGGGCTCTGACCCACCCCCCTTCTGCTCGTGGCCGAGTCGTGGCCGAAACCGCGGCCTTTTCGGCCTCCGGGGAGGCCCCCGCCGGCCCGGGGGCAGGAGAGCGCAGGATCGAGTCGACACGTCGGATCGGCGATCGAAACGACTCGGATCGGCGGTTTTTTGAAGGCAGATCTGCCTTCAAAAAACCGTTCTTACAGAGTAGACCAGTCTTTCCTCCTTGCAGGTAGAGTGCGAATCCAGAGCCAATTTAGGCTCAAGCCTGATGAGCCGCTGATTGCGGCGAAAGCTAGCACCAGCCAAGAGAAGCAGCGAACCTGAAAAAAGTGAGTCGGCGGCCGAGACGGGAAAAATCGAATCGGCGGGAAACGGCAAGCTAGTAAGCCTCCAATGAGGAATCGGAACCCAAATCGGAATCTCAAATCGAATCGAATCGAACTCGGAGGCCATCGAAAGCCCTGCCGGGGGGTCGACAAAAAGCGACTCTGAACGCAGACCTCCCCAGTGCCAGGGAGGGGGTCCTGACCTCTGGGGAGCTACGTTGTGGAACAAAAACACGGCGCCCGATGTCTGGGTGGTGGCCTGTCGCGCATAGGTCTGACCTCCTGGCGCCCCGCGAAAGCTGCGCACCCAAAACCTCTCCAACGAAAAGTCACTCTTACGTGTAGCCGACAGCCAAGGCTTGACTTGTGCAAAACGGGGCCCCTGCAAAATCCAACCCTCCTGAAGGCCTACTTTGCATCCCGAGCCGGTTCCTGACTTTACCAGAGCGCGAAAACGGCCCGCGGAGACCGAAAACGGCGAAACACCTTCGCCCTGATGTTGCAATGACGCTGGATGTCTGGATCATGGACCTACTACGGCGACAAACATGTCATGATACCATCGGCCAAGGTGCGCGCAAGGATTTCTGGAATGACTAGCGGCCTTCGCCTACGAAGCCCTCGCGGGACTGCAGGGGAAGGTGGAAATTCTGCAACGTATCGCAACAATGAACTCTTGCTTTGCGGATGCCATGACAACAAATTGCGTTAAACTGCTTGAAACAGATCCTAGAAATGTTAGAAGCGTGTAGTTAATGTTAAAGGCATGTGCTAAACATGTTTCAAACATCTGGAAGCTGTTTGGCTACATGCTTCCTCTCCACTGATCGTCGTCCACAGCTCTTGCTCCTCCGAGAGTGCATTCACCGTACCACCATGAGGAAAGCTGGATCAGGAACGGAGGGTCTCTTCTGGCCACACCGAGCCTCGGCCACGACTAGGTTTAGGTCGGGCGTGTCCCCCTACAGGCGGATTTTGCGCGAAAACAAAATAACAAAAGAAGCACAAACATAATAATACAATACTCGAAACATCGTCCCCGTACTATTTTGGACTATTCTTCGAACATTCCTCCCGTAGAGGGACGCGCCCGACTTCAGACCAGGTTCCCCGACCCGGAGAAAACGGCCTGAAAACCAAAGCGGTTGTCAACTCACCGTCTTGACTGTAAACGCAGCTGGAGAGAAGCCACTTGTTTCACTATTCGCGGTAACGCCCGTGACTGTCTCCGCCCACCCCCCTTTCGTCTCCCCCGCCGGTCACACAGGATTGTTGTTTGCCGTGTTCCGCCCCTGGGGGCCCGCACATGGCCCCGAGACCGTCAAGACACGACTCGGGATGAACAGCAGATCCCAAGCAAAAAAAAAATGTTTCTGGGAACCGCGTGTTGGATTAGGCTGGCGAAGGACCAAGCCATCTGCAAATGTGCGCAAGTCGGTTGCGAATGTCCTCTTCAGTGGAGCCCGTGCGGGCGCCACGAATTGTCAAAAAGTTGTGCTGAAATGGGTGCGGTGCCGTCCTGCACATGCAGCTACTGGAGCCGTCGGTGACGCTCCCCATGGGGCCACGGAAGGTGTGAGGGGTGCTGGTGCGGTGCCGCCATGCGGAGTGGGAGCGGTGCCGCCATGCGAACCCAGCCACTGGGGCCTTCCGTGGGGCTCCCTATAGGGCCACGATGCGTGTGGCGTGTGTGTGTGTGTATGTGTGTGTGCCGAAACGGGCGCGGGGCCACCATGTGAACGCCTCCTGTGGGGCCTCTGTAACTCCCTACTGGGCCACGAGACGTGTGATGGGTGTACCGAAGTGGATGCGGTGCCACCATGCGAACGCAGCCAGTGGGGCTTTCCGTGAAGCTCCCATGGGGCCACAACACGTGTGGGGTGTGCGTCGAAAGTGGTGCTGTGGGGTCGTGTGAACGCAGCCGCTGGGGCCTTAGGTGGAGCTTCCTATGGGACCACGAGGCGTGTGAGGGGTGTGCAGACATTGGCGCGGTGCCGCCAGGCGAACGCAGCCACTGGAGCCTTCAGTGGAGCTTCAAGCCGGGGCCAAGGCAGGGATGGGGAGGAGGGAGGAGAGGAGAGGAAACGCGTGGCGCAGCCGATTGAACACGAGGACCCAACACCACAGGACCAGCGCGGGGACACTCCGCCGCCCGCGGTCCTCGCTCGCGCCAGGAGCCCCCCGGCGCCCAGCAGCCCCGCCGCAGCGTGCGCCGCCGGCGCGCGCGGCACACCCGCGTGCGGCGCGCCCTCGCGCGCCCGCGCGCGCGCCGGCGCGGCGGGCCGCGGCAGCGGCGCCGCCGGTGGGGCGGCGGTGGGCGGGAGCAGGGACATCGCCTCGGACCAGCTGCGGCGGCGGGCGCCGAGGGGCACGGCGGGGGGGGTGTCGCGGAAGGTACACCAGGGCACGCCCGAGGGCACGCTGGCAGGCACGCCGGAGGACACACCGACGGGCACGCCGAACGGCGACAGAGCGAAGCGAGAGGACGCCAGAGAGGGCAGGCCTCGAAGGGCACGGCTGGGCGGCAGCGGAGCGACGGCGACAGGGGGCAGCAGAAGATCGCGGTGGCCTGTCTGCGCCCCAACAGGAGCACCGAAGGTCCGAGAACGGAGAACGTAATCGACCCTCGCCCTGAAGTCCGCGCCCGCCGTACGCCCCCGGAATGCCCTCAGCCCGCAGCGCAGCTGAATACGCGAATGATCTCTGAGAGCAAATGCGCTCCACTCTTCCCCGCTTCCGCCCCAGCCCTGATCATCCCGGATCACCCCCTCCTTCCCCTCCGCCTCCCCATCCGCCTCCTCCTCCTTCCTCCCCTTCCTCCTCCCCCTCACCCTGCCCCTCCTCCCCCTCCTCCCTCCTCCTCCTCCTCCTCCTCCTCCTCCTCCTCCTCCTCCTCCTCCTCCTCCTCCTCCTCCTCCTCCTCCTCCCAAAGACCCCTTCCCGGGGCCCGGCCCTGCATCTGGCACTGCGCTGCTGACGGCCCCCGAGGCCCAGTGAGGGCGCGCCTGGAGGCCGAGAGCGACAGAACAAAGAAAGACCTCCCGCCGTGGCTCTCGGACGGCGCGGGGAGGTCACCGGACCTGTTCTCACCTCATCCTCGGGGATCTTCTGACCCGGGCCAATCCAGACCCGGGTCAAGCAGGCCTTGCAGAATGCTGCAGGATCCTGCACCCAAACCCGGGTCAATGCGACGGATCCTGCAAGATTCTGCACCCAAACTCGGCGCCCCTGGCGCTGCAGGATCCTGCAAAATCTGGCGCTCTGGCTGACCCCCCGTTTGCATCGACCCCCGTCTCAAGGCTCCCGACGTCTTCCTGTGTATCCCCCCCGCCCTCGCTTGCATGCCTCCCCTCGGCCATCCTGCTCCCACCCCCTCTTTGCCATCGCTCTCCCCCACGCGCCCTCCCAATCGAAGAAGGGGCTGGAGCGCAGCAGGAGCGCGAAACTAGCCAACACCAGAGCGTATACGATATTGCACATGCAACAGTCTTAAGAAACAGTCGGCTGTCGAAGAGCAACCTGGGCCAACCCTCCAACCACCCCAAACCCACCATCAAGGCAACCCCGGCAAACGGCCAACCCTCCCGGCCAACCCTGGCAAGGGCAGTTCCATCCCCCAAGAAATGGTACTTGTTGATCAATGCCAATGCTTGTGTACTGCCGCTGCTGATCTCTCGCAGCGTCTCGCTGCGCATGTGCACTGAGGCTCCGCACCTCGCACGGTCACGCCTCCCTCAGAGCCCCCCCAAATGGGGTCGGGGTAGACGGTGGTCGAAGGATCTCGCCGCATCGCCGATGCACGCATCGGCGCTGTATCGGCGACGTCGACGATGTATCTGCGACGTCGGCGTGGCCGAACTCGGGCGCCACACCGAGCCACATCGACGGTGCATCGGCGACGTGGTGCGATCCCCCGACCCCGTGTACAGCCATCGCACTAACAGAAAAGGAGGAACGCAGGATAAAGAACGAAAGGGGCCTTTCTGACCACGGCGAGCCTCGGCCACGAACAGCTCCCCGTCCTAGATCGACGGAACGGCTCGAAAGCACAGCCCTTCCTGAGCCACAGCCCCTCGACTGCACTCAGCCCCCACCTGGGAGGCCCGGATCCCTGGCCCGAGAGAGGGGGCACGGGTGGAGACCGGGCGAGGGGTCCTGTGGGCACGAGCTCGACCTGGCCGTAGCCCGCCACCCGCACGCTGCCTGGACACCTCTCGCCCTTCGGCCCCACGGCGGCCTAGCGCGCGCCGCCATCGCCGCTGCGAAACCCTTCTCCTCCTCCTCGTCCTTTTCTCCTCCTCGCGAGCTCCTCCTCCATCTCTTCCTCGTCCTCCCCCTCCTGCTCGTCCTCGTCCTCGTCCTCGTCATTCTCCTCCTCCTCCTCCTCTTGCTCCTCCTCCTCCTCCTCCTCCTCCTCCTGCTCCTCCTCCAACTCCTCCTCCTCCTCCTCCTGCTCCTCCTCATCCAACTCCTCCTCCTCCTCCTCCTCCTCCTCCTCGTCCTCCTCCTCCTCGTCCTCCTCGTCCTCCTCCTCCTCCTCCTCCTCCTCTTTCTCCTCCTCCTCCGTTTCTATCCCTTGTCCTTATGGATACTCCTCCCTGTCGCGCCCCGAAGCGTGTCGGTAGGGCGGGCTGGGCGTTAGTTTTCGAAATGAAAACGCTCGGCTTCTCTCCGGGCACATGCGTTTCAAACTTTTGATGAGTTTCACGGATGGAAGGTGGGTGGTTTTCAGAATATAGCACTCGCTCAGCACGGCGCAAATTCGTCTCGAAAAACGAGCCGGCCCCCTTGTGAGGCCATCAGGCTGCGGAGATCAGACTTGCTGATCCCTGCTCCAGCTCCAATTTCAAATCTCCCATCGTATAGTCCCATCGCACACTGATAAAATCCACTCGAAGGGGGGACCAAAACAGTTGTTTTTTGTCCGAGCCTATATCGCGTGTTCTGAATTCCTGCGGGCTGTGGGGCAGTCAGAAATACATGAGACTCGCGTCCCAGAGGCTACGATCCCTTGTAAAGATACAATCGCCGCGCCCCCCAGGCCACGATCCCTCACAAATAATGTACTGTTCGCGCCCTCCAGGCCACAATCCATCGTAAATTACGCAACATTCGCGCCGAGACCACGATATCTACGGAATTGCGCCGTGCTCGCGACAAGGACCGACGCAACGATTCCCACTAAGTTCAATATATCCATGTGATCTCGAATAAAATATGCCGTGCTCGCGTCCCCCAAGCAACGGTCACTCGTAACTTGCGCCATAGTCGCGTCGCCGAAACCGCGATCCCCAATAACTTATTAGGTATCCGCGTTCCCGAGGCCACGATCCCTCGTAAACTGCGCATGCCCGCGTTCCCGAGGACACGAGCCTTCTTGAAATTTGCACACTATTCGCGTCCCCGAGGCCACGATCGCTTGTAAATTACACCGTGGTTGTGTCCCCGAGACAGCGTCACCTGATATATTATAACATATGCGCGCCACGGTCCCTTGTAAATTATGAAAAGGTCGCGTCCCCGAGGCCACGATCGCTGGATAATGACACGCCATTCGCACCCCCGCCAAGATCCCTCGTAAATAATATAAAATTAGCGCGTCCGAAATCACGGCTCCCAGTAAATTATGCCAGGTTCGCGTCCCCGAGGCCACGAGCCCGAGTAAATAGTACAATGGTCGCGTCTCCGAGGCCACGATCCTTGATGTACATTGCGCAATACTCGCGTCCCTGAAGCCACAACTGCTTGTAAGTTGTGATGTTCGCGCCCCCGGTGCCACGATCCCTCGTACATCACGCAATGTTCGCGCCGAGATCACGCGTTCTCGCGACCCCGAAGCAATGATTCCAACTAAATTGCACCATTTTAGCGGCCCCGAAACCACGACCCCTTGTAACAAAAGCCGGGTAATCCCACAGACCGTTGAAACCGCGCGATGTTGCCCAACGTAGCCTCAAGCAGCCCAGAGTCGTTCCAAGAGGGCATCCGATACGCAGCATGAGGGGAAGATCGAAGAATGCATCACAGAGTACAGCTGCAACCATGTCGGACAGAAAAATATCCTTCAAGAACCTGTGACCCTCAGCCCGCCCAAACACACAGAACATCCAAGGGTGCCCTCCCCCAGGATTGCACAAGAACGTCCAACAAACACGAAGAACACAAGCGTACCATCCCCGAACCGACCTCGATCTTCTGCTTCGGTCCGTTCGTACTATGAATATCAACGTGTCTTGGAAATTATCAATCGTCCTCGGTTCCCATGCTGCTTCATGACGGCGCCCAGGCATCCCGACACATCTCCTGCATGTATAATTACGATACAAAGGTCGCTAACAGCAGAGGCCGAAGCCCTTACGGATTGCATGAGTTTCACGGATTGAAGGGGGCTCCTGTTCAAGATGTGGCTCTCGCCAAAGCGCCGCGCACATTCGTTACAAAAGTTTGCATGGGCCGCACGAGTGGAAGGCGGATTCTTTAAAAAAGGTTGATCTCGCCTCAAACGCTTCGCTCATTCGTCGTCGAAGTCTGCAAGAGCTTTCCGGATGGAGGGTGTGCTTTTTTTGATGTGGCTCTCGCCAAAAGCTTGCAAGGGTGTAACGGACGGAAGGCAAGCGGTTTTCAACATGTAGCTCTCGCATTAGCGACACGCAAATTCGTCTTAGAAACTAGCAAGAGCTTCACGGATGGAGGGCGGGTGGCTTTCAAAATGAGGCTCTCACCTTAACACCACGCACATTCGTCTTACAGTTCGCACGACGCCTACGGATGGGGGACGTTTCTTTTTCAAACTGTGGCTCCCGCCTTAGCGCCGCGCACATTCGTCTAAACAATTTATCTCAATTGAACGGATTCTCGAGGCTGACGTCGAAGATATGGTGCGCCGGCACGATTTAGGATTGTCATCGCGCAACGGTCAAGCTGATTCGCGGCATTGAATTCTCAAGAATTGTACTCTGGCACGATTCCGGCCCGTCAAGAGGCAATTCGCGGCGTTGAAGTCCAAGGAGATGCGTTTTGGTACGATTGCGGACTCGCAAACGGCTGTCTTCCAACGGGGCACTTCCACAAGTGGACATAAGCTATTGCAGGAACCTATGAGGAGGGACCTTGGAGGAAGGGTGCACTGCAACATCGCTGATGCACCTCGGCTTTACACCGGTCCTCCTCCTCCTCCTCCTTCTCCCTCTTATTCTCCCTCTTCTCCCTCTCCTCCTCCCTCACCCCTCTCAGGCACCACAAGTTTGAAACTGCGACTCCGACCCCTAGATTTGCAGTCAGGTGCCTCACAGCTGGGCGTAACTCTACGGCATGCTAGGGTAGCCAGTCAGGGCGAAGCTGGCCTAAGCGTATGTCAAAAAACGACCTTAGCTTAGAGCGCCCCGAACTCTAGGGCTGACGCTAAGGCGCAATATAAGGCGGAGCCGCTTGCCAGTGTAACCAGAGCTTGTACGTTTCTAGTTCGCAAAAAAGTGTTATGTAATTGCTTGAAGCGTGCATGTCTTCCGTCAGTGTGTTGAGCAGTATGTTGACACAAAATGATGCGGTGCTGCTCTAAGCTGGCTTGGCAAGGCCACCGAATTCGAAATGCGATTGCAACTTACCAGGAAGCTTTGATGCTAGGGCGAATGCGTCCTGACTAGATGCGGCTCTGCCCTACGCTTTTGCCGCAGCTGCGCCCCAGACTTCTAAAGCTAGGAATATGCGGCGAAGTGAGAGTAAGGCACCCGAACCCACACGCACACAAAAAAACACACACACACACAATACTCTTCCTCTTCTCCCAAAATGTCCGACTTCGTGTTGTTTGCAGCGTGGCTACCCAAGAAGGCCTGGACCCCTGCCCAGGGACCAACTTTTCATACTGATTACGTATTTTGACGGCCCCTTGGCCGGGCAAGGCCCTTGGGGGCCAAGAGCTGTCGAACAACTTCTGCCGTGCTCCTTTTCACGACGCGGGGAGACCTGGCTTTCGGGTCAGAACTCGGGACTCCCGCTTGCGTCTGGGGCGATCGGGGCCCTCCTGGGCACGCCCCCGAGGCTGGAGAACATCCGCCAACCGGCGAGACCCCGAACCTCGAACGGCGAACCGACGAGACCTCCAACCCCGAACAATCCCGAGCCCGAAACCCTCGAACGAAGACCCTCCTCATTGCAACCTGCCAGGTCGGGGCCCTCTCCTCCTGGCATGGGGGGCGCCGTGGCCGCCCAGCTCGTCTGGAGACCTCCGCGGCTGTCGCGGGCTCCGAGTGCGGTCGGCCGCAGCAGCGAGTGCTGCGAGTGCGCCTCCCCCCCCTGCTCGTGCCGGGGACAGGGACGTCCTCATCAGACCTCGTCGTGTGCTTCTTGGGGGGCCAGAGCGGCTGCTGTGAAATGTTGACACGCTGGGCAAGTTAAGACAACATGACTTGGCAATCTTCGGCCCAAATGGGCGACGTGAAAAAAACGTCTCGGCCGGTCCCTGGGAAGGTCTGCGCACAGAGGGGCGCCTGGCGGACAAGAAGACGGAGAAGGGAGGGCTACCTTAAGAGAGTCATAGTTACTCCCGCCGTTTACCCGCGCTTGTTTGAATTGCATCACTTTGACATTCAGAGCACTGGGTAGAAATCACATTGAGTCAACACCTTTTGAGGCCATCGCAATGCTTTGTTTTACTTAAACAGCGGGATTCCCCTTGTCCGCTCCCGTCCTGAGTTGGTTCCATGATGCGATGGGCTCAAGATACGTTCGGGGAGTTTCAGAGCTTAGCGGCTCTCTTCCCTTCGTACTCGCCTGCTCGCCTGTGGCCGCGCGGGACAACAAGAAGACCTGGCAATTCTGGAACGTACTTCTCGCTCCACTGGGATGGGAGGACGGGGAGTGGCGGGATGGCACGGTGTCGGCGATGCTTGGCATGATGGAGAAGGGCCCCGAGGGTCCTGAGCCTTCGGTCGGGCATTTCCTCCTACAGGCGGCTCCTTGGCGAAAAAATTTAAATTAGCCTGGCGAAGGACCCAACCACATGCAGCTGCGAGTACCGCACGGATATGAAACGAAGGAGGGGGCACGCAAACTAGGCCCCTCTTCTCATAGGCACCGCGCCACTGGGGCCTTCGGTGGAGCTCCCTATGGGGCCACGAAACGTGTGAAGGGTGTGCCGAAATGGGTGGTGGGGAAGCATGCGGACCCTGCCACTGGGGCCTTCGGTGGAGCTCCCTATGGGGCCACGAAACGTGTGAG